TTTTTTTTTTTTTTTTTGGTTGGTTTAGACTGATTCGATGTTTGTGCCTATAGGTTTCCTGGAGTTTGTATGTAATGGCGTCTTGAAACAACCTACTCTTTAGCTTGCAATATGTGACAGTTATGATCCATCAGTTTTAGTTGCCATTAAGTGTGATCCTATTTTCCCCATTTGCAGATGGTGTAAGTGCCATCTTGAAACAATTTAGCTTGCATTATACGACTGGTTACATGATCCATCAATTTTAGTTTTCGTAATTTGTTATCCTCTTATTCCCATTCAGAGATGATGCTATTATATAACTGCTTGTATCTCAGTTGAAGCACACGAAAGATATAGAAGTATCCTTGAACATGTTGTTATGAGAAGGAAACAAAAAAGACTAATTACGATGAGCAAAGTCAAATAATTTACCGGGTCTGTTAATATAATTCCCCACGGACGGCTTGTATCTTTATCTAGGATCGGATTCCGGTGGAGAATCTAGTATAGAATCTAGTATATTCAGAGTCACCACACTATCTAAAGTTTAAATTTCACCTTGTTCTTGGTTGTAGTTGTGATATGATGAAATATTAGGATTGTTGTATGAATGAAATTTAAACAAGACATTTATCTATTCCACTTTTTGTGTGCTTCTAGAGTTATGTCCCATTAGTTTAGAACTGCAAAAACTAACGGTTCTAAAACTGTCGATCCTAATCTGCAAACGACGTGTGCCTTTTATGCGCTTTTATTTTTGTAACATGAAAATACCCATCAGTTTCTAATGTTATGACTATACTTTTGCAGGCCACTGATGATTATCATTCGGCGGCGAGAAAAGAATCGTCGATTAGCATTCTCTACATTGCAAAAATACTGTTTGCCTTTCTTCTAATATTCATATTCGGTGCAGTTTTCACATTGGCCCTGGAAAATCTTCCTCGTCTCATCTTGTTTGTAAACTCCTCTGTATAATATATAAACTCGCATGCAAAGTTCGTGGCTCTCTTTTTCATGTTTGCTCGATGGTATCATTGTCGCTCGCTCGACTTATGACTGATTTTTAAAATGTTCAAAAAATGGTAATGTCAGTAGCTCTGCCGGTTATTAAAATGTTCGAAAAATGGCCAATGTTTGGTATTCGGGTAGATTTTTTATATTTCATTTCCTTTCATTGTGTTAGTCTTGGGGAAAAAGATCAAACTATGCTTATATGAAGAAAATTTGATGGAAAATAAATGGAGAAGAATATGATTTTATTTTTCTTTAAAAAGAAAATGATTTTGGGTTCCAATTTTTGAAATGAACAAAAAAATTTACTAGACTGAATATGCATTATTTCGGAAAATTTTGTTTGAATGGAAAAAGGAAGTAAATAATAGAAAAGATTATTTTGGTGGGAAATAAAATCCCTCCTATATATTAATCCAGAACGCGCTAAGCCTACTTGGTTGCTTTTGGTGCTTCGAAATCCTATGTGGCAGCTTTTGGTGCTTCAAAATCCTATGTGACAAAATTACATGCTTCGTTATTATGCTTGGGTAAATTTTAATTTAATTTCAAACCAAAAATAATTAGGTTCGGACTACCATAAATATGTTGATTATTTATGGTCATGTTACATGTATTAATTGCATTTTAATATCATTCCTTATTATAACTATTGAATTGTATATATATTTTAAAAGTTAATAACTTTTGTATTTTTTATCAGTTTTACATATGTAATATATCAAATTAATCTTTTTTTGATGAGCTTCGATTTGACATCCATATTGTATGTATAAAAAAAATAATTTATATTTATCTTTATAACAATAATAAAATTATTTCTAAGATTAATTAGAAAAATAAAATTATTTATCAACTAATATATTTATATTTCAAATAGTTATATGATATAAGTTATAAAAAACTAATATAATATAACACATGTAAGTCATAACTAACACATATCATTCTAAAATATATAGTAATATGTTTTTTTTTTTAAAAAAAAGTAAACTAAATTTAATATAGTTTTCTCATTAATTTTAAGTTTAGAATAATTTTTTAACAAGCACTCGTGTAATACACGGGTATTGTACTAGTATTTTATAATTGTGAAAAGATATGGATAAAATGTTATTATTAAAATTGTATGTGTTGGAAACATAGTTAAATAATAAATGCAAATGGTTAATAGTTAAAAGATTACAAATAGATGAATAGTAAATTTCATTGAAAAATGAGTAGTAAAAACTGGTTTTTATTATTTCATTGCATTGGTAGTTCAAAATATATAAGTATATGAATAGTGATTAAAAAATATATAGTAACGATTGATTTTTATTATTTATTTATATTGATAAAATTGAATTGAAATTATTGAGCTTCGATGATCCTTGATGTTTTTTCAAGAAAAAAATAAAAATGTTTCCAATTGTGTTTTTTGCAATTATTGGCGGTTGGCGGCGGCGGTCCGGCGGACGAGACAAAATTGCAACACTTAATAAAGTTAGGCATTTTTTGCCAAATTGAAAAAGTTGAGTTTTATTTACAATTAAATAAAAG